ATAAACTAAACTAGAAACAAACAAACTGTAAACAAACAAACTCAACTGGAAACAAACAAACTGTAAACAAACAAACAAACAAACTGTAAACAAACAGTCACCTGCTGGTTTGGACTAACGATGATTACAAATTCAGTATGGTCAAAATTAAAGCGTCATCGATCACGCAGGGGGCGGAGTCACGGTTCATGTCAACAACAACATGATAAACAACATGGTCACTGCTGTCAACACAAACAGTCTGAACGATCAGATCACAGCAGGACAGAAGCTGCAGCTCAGCCACCGAGAAACAAGGAGGACTGTGGAACACTTCCACTTTATCAAAGTCCACTTCTGTCCAAGTCCTGGTCCAGAAGTCCTGGTCCAGAAGTCCTGGTCCAGAAGTCCTGATCCAGAAGTCCTGATCCAGAAGTCCTGATCCAGAAGTTCTGATCCAGAAGTCCTGATCCAGAAGTTCTGATCCAGAAGTCCTGATCCAGAAGTCCTGGTCCAGAAGTCCTGATCCAGAAGTCCTGATCCAGAAGTTCTGATCCAGAAGTTCTGATCCAGAAGTTCTGATCCAGAAGTCCTGATCCAGAAGTCCTGGTCCAGAAGTCCTGATCCAGAAGTCCTGATCCAGAAGTTCTGATCCAGAAGTTCTGATCCAGAAGTTCTGATCCAGAAGTCCTGATCCAGAAGTCCTGGTCCAGAAGTCCTGATCCAGAAGTCCTGATCCAGAAATTCTGATCCTGAAGTCCTGATCCAGAAGTTCTGATCCAGAAGTCCTGATCCAGAAGTTCTGATCCAGAAGTCCTGATCCAGAAGTCCTGATCCAGAAATTCTGATCCAGAAGTCCTGATCCAGAAATTCTGATCCAGAAGTCCTGATCCTGAAGTCCTGATCCAGAAGTCCTGATCCAGAAGTCCTGATCCAGAAGTTCTGATCCAGAAGTCCTGATCCAGAAGTTCTGATCCAGAAGTCCTGATCCAGAAATTCTGATCCAGAAGTTCTGATCCAGAAGTCCTGATCCTGAAGTCCTGATCCAGAAGTTCTGAT